GTTGTTGTTGTTTCCTCCACCGCTGCCATCGTTGAACCACCAATCCATTTGGAAGACACCAGCGTCAGTGCTTGTGAAGAATTCGAACAAGCCCTGAGAGAAGTCGAGATCTCCCTCGTTGGGGCAAGTGGGGCATTCTAAAAAAAAAGTTTGTGTTTCAGTATGGTGCTTGGCGGAAAATTCCAAAATATGATAAAGAGATAAGGGAGTTGGCAAAGAATAAATGGAAACCAAGCGGACGAGACGGCTCGGAAATGTCAGACGTGATGGAGGTCGGGCTCGGCAGTGCGGCCTGCAATGGGCTTGGCCACTGTTGATTGAGCGCGACAGCACCCACGGTCGGAGGGGGGAGATGGAAAGACGGGCTACGTACCATCCATGATAGTGGCGGTCGTGGTCTTTCCAAAGGCTGAGACGGTGATGGATCGATAGCAGGTTGAGGGTTTGCCGTTCTGGTAGCCTCCCATTGCGTTCAACAAGCCAGAGTTGAGAGCAACGACCTAGGGGGTGAGGGGTCAGCAACTTGGAGTTTCAAATTTTAGTGAAACAGTCGTACGAATTGATTGGGCTGCATATAATCACCGCAAGCGCCGCTGGAGAGTCGCGGAGCGAGGAGTCAGTATACATGCTTCAAGGGACTTTTGTGTGACCGAGAGGGCGGCACTCACGCATTGCCATTGTTCACTAAGGAAGAGGATTAGCTAGAGCGCTGGCACTAGGGAGTGTTTCTTACCGATATAGTAAGTCGCAGTGCCAGTGTAGGCTGCGACAGAGGACGCGACGGAGAGGAGCACAAGGGAGAGCTTCATGACAACGTTGCCTGGAGGTGGCGAGGAGCGTCATAGGGAGTGGGGAGAGCTAGGTGAGCAGCAGATAGGATTTATCGAGGTCGAAACATGCCTGTTTTATGATCTGTTTGGGAGTGAGAACTGAGGACGCGTTTGGTCGGTGGGAGTGAGGGGCGCAGAGCGAGTCGCTAGATGTGCCAGGAAAAGACAGGAAATTCAAGCGAGTGTCGTTGAAAATGTCGAGATTATTTTGCAGAGGTGATCTACGAGCTGAAGGAAGGGGACGGGGACAAGTCGCAGCTCTAAATATGGGCCAAGCCAAAGGCGCGTGCAACCTGGGAATGCCCACTCAATGCCGGTTGACAGAATTGGACTCGACACTCCGCAGCCAAGTTTAGAAAATGCCTAAATTTTACAAGCATTCTGCGCAATATTTCTGGCATTTTCGAGAAACATGTATCACCGAGGGATTCCGGATGGCCTGAGGTTCCGAGGTATTTGGGCTGCTTACGTAATGAACTCGGCGAGGGTGTCTCGGGGTCCTCCGGGCCATATGTCACCGGGTGGCTCCTATATAAGCCTGATCGATGGTCAACTGTCGAGTCCTCCCCCTTCTCCCCTCCCCTCTTCTGCTTGTTTCTTAGCCACCCCAACCGGCAACTCGTTCAGGCTCTCAGCTCTCACCTCAGGCCGTCGTTGCCTCTCCGAGCGTTTTTTTATTCTTTTTTCGACTTTCTTCCCTTTTATTTCACAAGCTCTCGGAAAGCACGATATGGATCTGTTCTCTTTCATCTTTAGCAACATTGCTCTCGAAGCAGGTGTCGCTGAAGCCGAGGTTGAGCAGCCAACGAGTGGCCAGGCCGAGGACCAGCAGAACATCGCGTACTATATGTGTGTGGTCGCATAATCGTCAGTATAATTATCCACATAATTCTCTGCGCTTTCCTAGTCACATCGCGCTGACTCACGCATGACTCGCCAATAGGCCCCCGATGCACCACTTTCGTATAGCCACCCTCCTCAAACACCTTTTTTCCTCATGGCCATAGTCGTACCGACCTTTTGCCTCAATTTCTGTAACGGGCTCCGGTCTTCTATCTGGTTGTGGGTGTTCCTCTAATCGAATGAAAAGAAAATGGATTGGACAAGACTGTGTTACGACCGTGCATGACTGGACAAACCAAACGCCTGTCAATCAACAAGGAAATCTTTCATTCTCAATCTTTCTCCTTCTCTTCACTCGTTTCACTCGCCCTTCATCTACTGCACCCCACAAATTATGCCGTTGAATTTTTCCTCCCTCTCGCTCTCTCTCGAACCCACCAAATCCAATCTGTGTATGCGCGCTCCCGCCTCTTGGACTCTCTTGGTGGGGTGGTGGTGAAGAATAATGACTCATGATCCCTTCAATTATGCGAGAGCCTGGCCAGGCCACCGTCAACTTGTCAAGCCCCCGAAAAAGTAGACTCTGACCGCGTCGACAAATGGACTCTCTTTCCCAATTTCTCAAAGTTCGTTCGTGGTTACTCTACTTTTTCGGCCGGCAAGGCTCTCTATTTTCGTTCTTCACTCCACTAATTCAACTTCCCTCCCCGTGTGTTTAGCATTCGCATCTCAATCTTTTTCCCCACTTTTTTCTTTCATTTACCCCAAGGGAAATCAGAAAAACTCGAATGTAGAATAGTGTAGTGA